AGAAGCACGCGGCAGGCGATAAAGAACTATAGTTGTGTTCTCACAGATATCGAGAGTGGGATAAGACATCTTCATTCGCTTGGGTGGGCTCATAACGACATAAATCCAAGCAACGTAATGATTGAAAATCATCGGGCAATCATCATCGATTTTGGTTCTTGCCGGAGGTTAGGAGAGAGCCTAGAAGATGTCGGCCGTACTTATGAATGGTACAATGAGAAATTGCAGCATTCTCTTCTCGAGAATGATCTAAATGCCTTATAGGAGATTCGCATCTGGCTTGGTATCAGTTCACGAGCATTCCAATTTGATGCCTGATACTTTCCATGTAAGTTTTATCTATTGCCCAATCTTCATTGTTGACTCCCTGGGCGGAGTGGCCTGCATCAGATTCCCGCGTGATTCAAATTGTTCCTGGGCTCTGGGTGGCCGGCTTCAATGATGGGGTTCTCAAGGTGGACAGGACGTCTTGTAGGGGTCTAAAGAAGTATGGCTGGATTCTTTCACTGCTGGCACCCATTTGAGCTGGCCGGCATCTTGGTAGATGATTTCGACTCCCTCGAGAAAGCCTTCAGTGGTGTTGCTCCTCCCTTTGCTTTTGAAATGCTGGCGTCTCGTGATGAAGTTAGATCTCCCGGACCGTGTAGCTCGTTTTGTGGTTGAATGGCGACGAAGCTAGACCGTACGCTGTTCTGCTTCAGTCATTCGGTCCTGACGACGACAGAGCTAGATCACGCATTCAAACCTTCCACGTTGTGAGAGGTTAGGTGGAAATGGAGTCATAAACGCGTTGGCCCTGCTCCTCGCTTCCGGTGTTGATGAAGATGATGATGGCTCCCAAACTATCTTTGACTAAGTTCTGAGCCTTGGCAATTTTCTGCGTGGAAGAAGAGTCTTCATCTAACCAATGAGAAGCTGAGAGTCACCATCATCATCATCAACACAGGAAATCGAGGGCAAGACCAACGCGGTTTTGAGCCCACTTCCACAAACCGCTCACAAAGTAGAAGATCTGAAGGCGTGATATGACCTTTCGAAGAGGCGGGAGTGCAGAGAGTGTATTGCTATCCTGCGCGGGGAGAAGAATTAGAAGAAGAGAAGAGGTCCAGACGGCAAACAAGGGTATAAATACACACGGCGGTCTGAACCTTAGGATTGGGTCCTCGCCGGGGTTCTTAACAGCATCTATCCAAGTTGTCCATCTTTCCCAAGTCAACCTACCAGGCCCATCAGGCTCATCCGGCATCCCCAACCCTTCAACACATCACCCACAACCATACTGCCCAAGTGAGCATCAATTCAGGTGCACTGATAGTTTCGCCAACGAAACATGGGTCCTCAGGATGGACCATCGCATGAGTCCAGACTTCGAGGTGATTCAAGAATTCTTGCCGGCTCGATCCAAATTCGCCTCTGCATCGTCCGCACCTGCTTGTTGGCACTGCATGAGCCATTTGACAGAGCGAATGATTTGATCTTTCACCCATCAATCCAGAAGTGGACTTAAAGGCATCCCAAAGGATTGGCAGGATCCGCGGCTGGCGATCTGGGTATACATTGTCCAGGTATCCAAATTTTGAAAGAGATAGAGCAGGAAAAAGGCAAAAGTACGTCACCCTAGAAGGCATACAGGGGAATTATGAAAATATTTGGATACCTGGACGATGCATACCCAAATCCCCAGCCGCGGATCCTGCCAATCCTTTGGGACGCCTCCAAGTCCACTCCTGGACCTTCTCTCTTGTTCAACATTTGCCTCTCTCACCCCCCGGATCTATGCGAGTCGAGGAGTTCGGCTGGGATGAATCTTTCACTATCGCCAAATGCCAGTGATGATACCTGACATGAAGCGGATTGAAAATAACCCGAAGAATGATCTGGAAACCTTTGCAACCGGTATCAATTGGATTCACCATCCCAACTCCAAAGAATGCGAGTGAATCATGAAGGCTTTGACCACATCATCCACTAGCCTCTGGGCAGTTTGCATTTCCGTATGATCCATGTATTCCCCCGACGATTCACCTGGGCAGCAGTTCCGTGACTGCCTTAAACGCTCGATTGCAGTGGACTGTGACTTGACTCACGGTCCATCGAAATCGTTCGAGAGGAGTTAAGCAATATAACTTGATGTATTTCTATCAAAAAGACTGGGGAGGTGAACAAAGTAAGAGCCCTCGGAATCCTTTATCTACTACGCGTTCGACGGGTCTGATCAAATTCCCCGAGAAGATCAAATATCACCGCCAACTTAGTGAGACATTCATGGAGGAAGGAGTCGATGGATCCACGCGGGATTGGAAATATCCGAGGGAAAACATTTCAGCCCCCTGAACATACCAGCTTCATCATTAAAGAGTGTCTTGAGCCGACACCACCCGCTTCACGAGGACACCAAGAGTCCACCCAATGACCTCGGGAGAACGTCGCCCTGGATATCTCTAAACAGTTGAGTCCCACGCGAGCTATACAAGTTCTTACCTACTAGAGAACAAAAGTAAAGCTAAAGGTTTCCATTGACCTAGCTAAACTGAACTATGGGACAGAACAACGGCGAAGCTCTGCTGATGTAGTCAGTATTGCATACAGTATCATCACGAGTCAATCGCTTTTTTTTTGATTTTCAAACTTTTTCCAGTTCAGATTTCAGAGTATTCCTTTCGTAGTCATTCAAGACATCTGGTTTGCGAATTAAGTCGACGCACCTCCATCGGAAGACTTAGATACCAGCAGGCATGTGGCCGTAGGGACGAACACCAGGGTGAGCTTCGGCGATAGGCTTATCGGAATGTTCCATGTAGACCGTAGACTTGGTCTCATCGGCACTGGGGCCACCGAACTCCACAAGGCCCATTTCATGCGCGAATGTATCATGAGGAATCCACTTGGCGCTGGTGCTGGGGGTGGTTTCTTCGAGCATCTTGTCGACTTGTTCCAGGGTCAGGCCCTTTGTTTCGGGGATGACGAAGTAGGCGAAGAGCAGGCATAGGAAGAGGGCGCTGCCCCAGACGAAGAAGACCTTTGATTTCAGGTTTCCGTACTCCTTGTCCACAAGGTATGGTGTGATGACGGCGATGACGCAGTTCCAGAGCCAGTTCGAGGCTGTGGCTAGGGCGACGCCCTTGGCGCGGATTGGGAGGGGGTAGATCTCTCCGATGACTACCCAGGCTGCGGGTCCCCAGGTTGTGGCGAAGGCGGCGATGTAGAAGCAAACGAAGACGATGAGGCAGATGTTTCTACATGATGTTAGTTGGGGGTTTGCAGGGATGGAACCGGGATGGTTGGTGGACTTACGCTGCGTGAGCCTCTGCGGGGAGGGCAACACCGACAATTGCAACGATGAACTCGCAGAGACACATGATAACGGCACCCCAGATCAGAAGGCTGCGTCTTCCGAATTTCTCAATCATGTAGAATGAGGCAGGGGTTGTCGCTACATTGACGACGTTCGTGATGACCGAGATCAAGAACGCGTTGCTCATCCCGATCTGCTGGAAGAACGTGGTACCATAATAGACTGCGAGGGGAGGACAGTTGTTAGACAGCATGGATGTGAAGAAAGGGATGGGAAAACCTACAGATAAAGTTGATGCCAGTCCATTGCTGGAACATCTGCAAAAACACACCGGCAAGAACACGACGCAGATTGCCCCGGGGCTTCATACCACCCGTAAAGCAATCTGACCATGAGCTTCCCCCAAGCCGCATCTCATAATCGTAGTTCGCTTTGATCTCCGCCAACTCGGCTGAGATGGCTGGGTTGGATCGGGGCTGACCACGGACTCGCTCGAGAGACCTCATAGCATCATCCATGCGATTACGGCTCACATAGTAGCGAGGGGACTCGGGGAGGAAGAACAGACCAATTGCGAGAATTGCCGCCCAGATGAACTGCAAGCCAATGGGAATCCGATAGGAAGAGCCGGTAGTGCGGTCTTTGCAACCTTGATCGACGACGGAAGCCACCAGGAGACCAATCGTGATGGCCCACTGATAGGCGGAGACGAGAAGACCACGGACACGACGAGGACTGATCTCAGAAACGTACAGAATAACGACCGAAGAGACACCACCAACGCCCAGTCCGGCAACAAGACGGCCGGCAACGAGGCCACCGACGCTGGTAGTACCAACCTGGACGGCGACACCGATGGAGAAGATCAGGCAAGAGAGCAAGATAGTCAGACGGCGACCGATCCACTCGGCAAAAGCACCTCCAAACACGGCGCCAACGAAAGTGCCGGCAGAGAGAATGGAAGTGATGAGTGACTTGCGAGAGGTGGGGATGACAAAACCGGTTGGGTTATCCTTATCCTTGGGGACGGCGTGTCCGAGGTGTTCTTTGACGTAGTCCATACCGAGGACCCCAGAGATGTATCCCGAGTCATATCCGTAGAGGATTCCTAGGAGGATATGAGTTGGTGAAGGCAATGCCTTACCATTACTTCAGACTTACCACCGAAGCTTGCGAAGCCACAGATCAAATATGCGCGCCAGGTGACCGGAGCCTCAATGAGGGTCAGGTCAGCGGTGCCAACCACGCCACTCGCCATCTTGACCTGAAGAGATGATGATGTGGTGAATCCGCTGGAAAGAGTGTGGGTGAGGAAGAGTGTGGGTGAGGAAGAGTGTGGGTGAGGAAGAGTGTGGGTGAGGAAGAGGTGAGAAGCACCAGAAGTGAAGGGAAAAAGAAGTGTGACTCTGGGGCTAGGGCAGATTCAGAGGCTCAGCTAAGCAAACAACGTGGTCAGCGGAGTTCAAACATTTCACTTGTTCCTTTTGTTTCCTGTGGTAAATAAAATCCATCCTAGCTCATGTTTAAGGGATGTTTTAGTGGGCCTACAGTACCTGATGGGTTATACTTCAGTAGAACCCCTCCCCAGGTCATGGATTGGCAGACTCGGGACAAAGATATAGACTAAGGGAGTACAGCTGAAAGATGTTTGCCTGCATACTACATGGAGATTTGGAATACTGACACCTTCTAGACTTGTTTCCAAGGCTATAGTCTCGATGACATGAGCCTCGTACAACACGTTTCTGCCCAGGGCATGAGACCGCAGGTTACGCAGAAAAGCCAGTATCATGTAATGCTTAGCCTGGAATCAAATATTCAACCGTGGATAACACAGCTCACAATCAGAAATAGCAAACTGGAAAGGCGAATCAAAGCCAAGTAGGCCCGTTGGGAATCACATTGTGCGAGATGTGAACTCGAGTTCGAAAGCAACAATGTGCGACATTGCTCAATTATTCGTTGGCTCTGGTATTCTGGTGATCATGCTACTGCAATTGGATGGCTTATGATTGGATTGGACCAGAAACTCCTTTGGATTATAAAGTGGTTCCGATAGTTGACGATGTGTACGGAATATCGCGAGGTCGACAGATATACTTAAGTATACAAGGGAGTATATCGGACTTCAGGGAATGCCAATACCTCTGATTTAACCCTGGGACCTCTTTTATCATATTATTGATTACTCCCATCGATCGATTTACCCAAATGAACTTGACGCTTCAAAGTTCTCTTTAAAAACACGGAGCTTGACTGGAAGAAATAAGTGTATCGATTACTATAGCTGCAGGTACCCAGGTTGTGGCGAAGTCGCCGTTGTACTTAAGTAGAAGCAGACAGAAACAATAAGCCAGACATTCCTACAGTAACAATTAGTTGGGGTTGGTCAGAGAAAATCCAGAGTTGTGACGATCATACCTCAAGACCGTTGATCCTTCTTGACGTTCTTTCAGAGAACTTTGCCGGCGCCACATTCCGACTTGGTTGATAAAAGTCGATGAAGGAATTCTGGAGATGTCTCGGCTTCCTTGCTTAGCCGTTCCTCGAGGGAGAAATGTTGCTCCATATCACAAACTAAAGAGCTCGTCCACGAATCGTCTGTCTCGTTATTCACCACTTTCTTTCGCAGCCACATTTGCCACACATACCGACCCGCAGAGATGGTGGCTTGCAAAGGTACGTTCCATCGCTCAAACATGCACATCCATTCAACCTGTTCCCGTTTACGCAACGATAGTTAGGGATCAGACCTCCTTTGCACTCGATCGAATAACAAGCCAGTTCGATTGAGCTAGACTCAATATTGGAAGCAGGGATGGCTCCATGAAGTTTTGCTCCATATCACAAACGAGAGAGCTCGTCCACGAATCGTCTGTTTCGTTGCTCATCTGGGCTTCTCGTCGACATTCGTTTCCAGGGTCAGCTGCAAGTCCCTCTCTTCTTGGTTCTGCGTCGGCCGCCGCATCAGAACTTCGAACGGTATCTCTAGCGGAAGACCTGTCCCTACGCCATTGGTATAGCTAGCCGTCTGCGTGCATCGCAGGACATGGCTCTGCCATCCCCTGGTCCTCTGATCGCTCTGGTTCGCGACCAGTGCTGGAGTTGTCCAAAACCGAGTCGAGTTTATCCTGCACAAGGGCAGGTGCAGAGGAGGCTGAGTACTCCTGTTTGCAGAGAATCTCTCTCTCTCTCTCTCTCTCTCTCTCTCTCTCTCTCTCTCTCCCTCTCATTTCTCCTAGACCTGATACTTGTAGATTTTGGATGTCATTTTCTCCCGCCAGTAGGCTCAAGACCAGACCATAGCCCAGTCTTAAGAAGTACTCTGGCTTATCGTATCTTCTTGGGTCGAATCGCCCTTGCAGGTAATTGAGATATTCCGGGTTATACTTGGCAACGGTCATGTAAATCTCATCTCTCGCTTGTGAAACAATGATACGCCTCTAAGGGCTGGTTAGCATGGGAAGCTTTCAATGGGAAATCCTCATTTGGTTTACTGTTCGATGGGGCATTGCTGGGAGTTGACATCACTCATGATCCATGCAATCACTTCTGCGGCTTCTTGCCACAGAACTTCGGGATGGTTCTCACGGGCCGACGAGGAGGCAAACGCCGAGTCTCAAGGCGTTTGTTTCGACGGCCTTGTTCAAGATCTGGTCGCGGATATCTTCCGCTGAGAATGAAGTCAGCAAATTGCTTTTCATTCCCTCTCCACGTGCAAAAAAGTGGTCCTGCTGATGATATTACCAATGTAAAAAGTTCTGTGGCCGCAATGATAAGTCTGCTTCGCCAGTCGAAGCATTCGCACATTCTTGGATATTATGGTGAAGTTGAGTAATGGTGGAATAGAAATTGACAACTTGCAGAAAAGTACAGAGATAATCTGATCTGTGCTGCGGAAAGAACGAATCTACTGTTTGTTTTGAAGAGCGTAAAAGTAGGGCAGGAACGTTAACTCCTAGAAAGAATTATGTCCGCAAGTGGTAGAACCGCTAGCGGTGAATGATATGATACAGTGGAAATCATTTCCAGGAATTAAATACCCCCCCTCTTCCTCAACTCTTGGAGATTTCCTGCTAGGGTAGGATCCTTCTTTTTCAAGAAATCCACAAAGCCATCCATCATGACACCCTTCAGGGAACTCCATTCCTTCCAAGGCTCAACCTGACTCGGCACAGTGAGCCCAGTATACATCTTCATAGGATGTTCCCGGGCCTGCAGCCAGAGGTTCTCAAGTCTCATAGACTGCAGCATCAGCATGGGGTAGAGCTCACTCCAGACCAGGTTGCCGTGGATGCGCATTTGACCAGGGTATTGAAGAGCTCCACTCTGGGAGTCTTCACTACTTGTTCCTGGCTCATTTGTAAGGGTGCTTTCATCGAAGTCGGGGTCGACGGCCAAGACGTGGCCTTGGAAATCGCCGCTGAGTAGACCCTTGTCCTTTTTGTACGCCGCGTACAATTCTTCTTCGGTATATGAGGCTACGCCCATGTGGTCGATGAAAAGGAAGACGGATGGTGCTAGCTTGTGGGTCCACTCGTCCATGGATCGGATTTCTTGGAAGTGGCTGTGAATAATATTAGTCTTTGCTCATGTGCATTTTGGGGGAAAGAAATATCGAACCTTCGGGCCGCAGGTACAGGCTTGGCCTTATCAAAGCCAAGTTCCTTGCAGTCAAACCAATGCAGTTGGAGCAATGGCTTCAGCTCGTCGGCGCGAGGCAGATCTTCTCCCCAAGCCGACAAGTGAGCTTCCAAGCGCTGCTTCAGATTTTCCCACTGCTCATCGGAGAATTGATTCTCAGCGCGATAAATTGCCAATCCGAACCCAAGATTCTTGCTCTCCTCTGGACCCAGGCTGGAAATCTCCTCTTGGCCCCGAAGAAGCTGTTGAATCCAGGGCTGTACAGGTGGCAGGGGCGATGGGTTACGGCCGCGGATCTTTTCACGCAACTCATTCTGGACAACTGTGCTAGTCGAGAAGCGCTCACGGCGAGCCTCTTTACTTTGCACGGCGCTTGGGCCGTGGATCTTTGCAGCCTCATTCTGGCCCTCGATACATTTGGTGAGTCGGTTCATCAGGAGCTCGGCGAATCCGTAGTCCTTGTCTTGGTTCGCTAGATCGGGGTTGTACAGTCCGGCAACGACCTCGGAGGGTGCCTGGAAGCCCTTGTATCCATCCATGGAGATCCAGATGGTGAAATCTGCCATCGAGTTGGCGGATAGGAGGTCACCCCACCGCTGCATGAAGACTTTGGCTTCTGGGGAGTCGTGGTTCTCACCGGGGACGGAACTCAAGCCTTCCAAGACTGGTTCACGTAATTCGGCAGTGCGAGCTAGGATCCATGAATGGGCGGTGCTAGTCATGACTTCGTACTGTGCGCGAATGAACTGCTCCCACAGAGCAGTAAGGTTGAGATCAGGAGCTCCGCCCTGGGCCTGGCGACGTGCATTCAAAGCATTTTGAATTTCTTCAAAGTCGTCAGATATCTTGTTGAAGGTGTCACGCATGTTAGTCTTGATCTGAGGAATGTTCAGGTATTCAAAGACGGCAATCACGGCCGTCAAGTATTCGTGGGCGATCGCGAAATTTTCCGGGTTGTTGAGGTCCTTGTCGTTCCACTGCGATGCTGGCACCGGGGCAAGACCTCCCCAGAGACGGCTTTTGAGGAAGTGCAGATTCTGCCCGACTTGACACAGCCCACTCAGATCTTCGGAGCCCGAGATCCGCTCCATCGCTTTCTGCACGGTTGGGACCGCGGATGTATTGAATGGTGCATGCGCCCACTGTGAACTCGGGGTCATGAACAGGGGGAATTCATCTGGAGTGACTAGAGCCAAATCGGTCTTCTTCCCGTTCGGAAGAAGACCCTGTGTAATGAATCCGATGAAATGCAGGATAGCTCGCGGTTCGATCAACGCGTCCACTAATTTTTGTTAGAGATGTGACAATGACGTAATGACGAGACCATACCGACTGGCAAGTCCTGGTTCTTCCAATGCTTCTCCGTAACAGTCGATCCATTGTAAGTGGTAGCATCGAGAATAGCAGTACCAGGCTTGGCTGCGCCAGCATCGGTGTGGGCGGATCGGGTGGTGGCCTGCATCACGCGAGTCCGGGGCGCGAGGTTCCAAGCATTGCGATGCGCCAGGCCAACACGGCCTGGATTCGCAAGAGGACTGCCACGGGAGGATAACCGGGTGAAAGCATGGCGATTGACCTTTGGCAGGCTTCGGGAGAGCCTGGTGGCCATGTTGCGTTGCATTTTTGAGGTAGGTGGTAACAGGTAGCGCGGCTCCGGGAGCTCTCAAGGTTTCCCCTGTTTAGCCGCGTTAGAGGCTTGGCGCCAGCCGCCATTTTCTCTTCATGTCTCTTGACAGGACTTAGGACCCTTTATAGAAATATACCTAAGATTTGGAGGACTTGCCAACGTGAAAATGTTTCAAAGTGGAACTGCAAATAGTTGCACTTTCATTCCTGACACCTTTCGCTTGTCGCGCTACTTTGTACGGCTTAAATACTACTGCTTCCTCCTTTTTTGATAGTCAAGATAGCTCATGAGATCCTATCCTCTCACGAGGTTAAATTCCGCGTGGTTAGAAGTAAGGTGATGGTGCACTCCGCACTTGTTGAGGTGCCTAGATTCCCCTTTCCGATGATTGACAATCTTGGCTTTACTCTGACACCAGATTCGATGATCTCCTTTCAAGATGCGACTTTCCCAATGATTCTGATGTATTTCCTAGCATTTGCCGGGAATACATGTTATCTATGCCTTCTTCGGCTTATAATCTGGGTCTTCTACAAGGTTTGCCCGGCGAAATCCTCGCTCAAAGATCCACTCAACTTCCTGCTCGATCATCCGCGACGGTGCTATAGGCTGCTTTTTCCAAGCCGGCCAACGTGGATCCTCTTCGGGATCTTGTTCCTGATGAACTCGATCGATGTTATTCTCATCGTTGTACTGGGCTTGAGCAATCCCGCCGTGAACAACCTCGAGCCTGGTCCTCGAATACTCGCTGCCATTTTCCAGGCCGCATCATCGCGTCATACGGGTACATCGACTTTCAATTTAGCTGGTGTGAGCCCAGCGGTCCAATTCAGCTTGCTCATCATGATGTATATTGTCTCCCGCCTGTCTAGATCCACCCTTGGCCTGGTATAAATACTAGACGACTTTTCTTTTGTTATTTTGTGAAGATGCTACAATAATTTCCAAAATCAGCCATACAGTACATCCATACTCTTCTACTTGTTCCCATTCGGTGCAACCTTGGCAGCTTTCCACAATGTGCAGACATTCTGTTATGATTACTAGAGACTAACGCTGATAGAAGACGTAACCAAGCACTTGTGCATATTCTGAAAAGATCTATACATGTACATAGCAGGGTATTTTATGTGGGCAGGTGGGAGATGTAGCATGGAAAAATAGCAGCCTGGCGGGTCGCCAAGGAGCGCAATGCTCTAACTTGTCCTGACTCCGCTAACTGGATAAGTGCCAAGAAAGCTCTTTCTATTGTTTGGCGTCCCCTCCATCAAGTAACACCAACACTGTGACATTTCCCGTCCGAATAGACTTTTTAATTCCCGCATTGCGGCATACTTAGCACGTGTTTCTTTGCCGTATCTTTGATTGGTTGGGTTGACTTTGAAAGCGATGGGGGAGCTTACCTAAACGTCTTGGCTTCCATCCATTTCAGTATGGATCCCGCGTGGTATTTAACCTACTCGTAGAAGGCACAACGACGAAAAGTTCATAGGGAGCCTTACTCACGTTTGAGATGATCTCATGCTCTTTACAAGACTTACAATTTGTACTTGAGCGATCTATCCGCGCAGCAATTGATGGGCAGTATGCCAATCCTCGCCCCCTTCTCTCGAGGACTCTCTTCCCTCGCCCGGCTGGGTCTCAAATGGGGAAAATGGGATTCAAGGGGAAATGAGGAATCGAAAGGACCTCTGTTGAGTCGTTTGTTGGACGTCTTTTTGCGTACATGGGATCTAGGCTTTACAGCCTTCGGAGGACCGCCAGTGCACTTCCAGATACTACATAGCAGGTTCGTGGAGGGAAAGGGCGGCAAGGAAAAATGGGTAGATGAGCAGACTGTACGATTCTCCCTTATTCTCATGTTGGCGCGTCCCAATGCCATGGGGTCTCCTAACAAATTTCATAGTATCAAGAACTCTTTGCTATCTGCCAGGGTCTTCCGGGTCCCGGTAGCACGAAGATGGTTTTCTGCCTAGCCTTATTACATGCAGGATTTCTTCCTGCCATGCTTGTGTTTTTGATTTGGAGGTGATTCATACCCTTATGCGGTAAAGCCCGCCATCTGTTGAACTTCAACTAACAGTGTCAGTCTTCCTGGCGCAATTGGCATGTATGCCCTCTCACTTGGGGTACAAAGCATGAGTGAAACTCTCCCCCAACCTGCCTACGCTTTACTTTCCGGACTCAATGCCTCTACAGTAGGTATCGTTGCACTTGCAGCTGTACAGTTGGCCGAAAAAGCTATTCGCGATAAACTATCCCGCATCCTTGTCATCTTTGGCGCATGTGCTGGTTTATCTTACAATGCGCTCTGGTATTTCCCCGTGTTGATGGTTATTGGTGGCTTCCTCACGAGTATCTGGGATGGAGGATTGTATCAACAATTTTTGAGGGCAAAAATCGCGTGGAAAGGCAGACATCGTCGCCCTCAACAACCGGACGAATTAAATATGGACCCTATTGTCACGGACGATACAACCCTGGAAGATAATAGAGTGCAAGGGAGTGAGACGACGCGATCACGAAGGACAGATCCTAGAGTTGAAGGACTACCACAGAGCACAGATGATTCTACAAGCGTAGCGCAGTCCGCTGAAGCTCCTTCGCAGCAGCATATTATCCGGATTCGGGTCGGAGTTTTGATTACGTGTCTCTTTTTCGGTGTGCACCCCATCCTAACGAAATCCCTGGGAGTTATTACTAATATACTTAGCTTCCTTCATCTCAATTCTCGTTGCTAGAGGCCAAATCGCCGCACCCCCACTGGTTCTCGACCTCTTTGCCAATATGTATCTTGCTGGCACTGTCATCTTTGGTGGAGGTCCTGTTGTTATTCCCCTCTTACGTTCCTATGTTGTCGATCCCGGTTGGGTCTCTAGTAGAGACTTCCTGATCGGCCTTGCTATTATTCAAGCCTTTCCCGGTCCCAACTTCAACTTCGCTGTCTTCTTGGGTGCACTGGCACTACAGCGCTCGAGATTTTCGACCGTGTTCGGTGCGTTCCTCGGCGGTTTAGGAATCTTCCTTCCGGGAATCACGCTGGCCGTTGCAATCCAAAGCTTCTGGCGTGTGTTGCGGAAGAAGAAGTACGTGGTCGACTTCCTCAGAGGAGTGAATGCCACTGCAGTTGGGCTAGTATTCACAGCTGTGTATCGGCTGTGGGAGATTGGATATCTGACTTCTGAAAAAAGCAACGGACAGAGTCTGGGTAAGGAACCATGGTGGATGGTTATTGCGGCGGTAACATATTCAGGGAGCGCATGGTTCAACGTGCCCCCGCCGGTGGCAATTGTAATGGGTGCTATTTTAGGGTTATGCTGGTTTGGAGCTGTGGGGCAATAGCACATTCTGCCAGTATATATATATACATAGCTATAACTAAAATATCAATAGAGGATATTATTGTTATTCATTATGTATCTATATACACATAGAATGTGGATCTATTGAATGGATGTCTCTCACTGCAACTGCCAACTTTAGAAGCTACAAAATTTGATAGAGAAATGGTGATGCGAGGGTCCTTTGCTCAATGGATATCACTTCGGTCATTAAAATTGCACAATTTCCCCTATGTCTTTGTTTCTATACGGTGTAATCCTTGGTTGTGAGAGAATATCTATTCCAACAACGGCGTGGAAAGCATGTGCAACGTGCCTAAGTAGAGTGGCTTTGTGCAGATGCCAAGAGAACAGCTGTTTCAGGACTTCAGGAGGTAGCAATATGTCCAATCATATCAAGTGTAGCTCACTTTGAAGGGTCAGTGCGGCAAGTCGCGCGACTTGGGTGAGAACTCACCTGGCTTCTCACCCTGTCTACAACGCACTCACTTTTGTCACCTCCGGTCGTGCGACTGTAAAGCGGCGCTCATCCATTTCTCACCCGGGCTGTGAGAATCGCAGGGTTGGGTGTCTGAGGGGTAGGGCATCTATACCTGAACCTGGGCATCCAACCCTCCCTAATTCTCTCAGTAGCTCCCTCTTCCCTTTCTTCCCCTAGCTTTAGTCTCTTTAGTTGAATGGATCCTCCTTCGAAGCCCGCCGCCTCACACGGGCGACATCCACCGAGCTATTGACCGCAAATAAGCCACACGCCGGTGAGTTAGTAGTTGGGTGGGTGACCACCAGCGAATCCTCACTGTTGTATGTTTTTTGTTTACTTTTTCTTTTTGCCTATGCTTACAACATTTTCGGTCGTATTCTACCTATCATCCACTACGGAGTATCCTAAAGTTGGTCCCAGTTGCCGATCATTCATCAGGCACTTGAGCGTCATGCACCTCCGTCTAGAGGCAAAACAATTCTCCTGCTTTTGCAGCTTAATTTTGACGTCTGTCAAGCAAGTCCAATACTTCATGCAGGTCACCCTTGAGTATATATTTGCTTAGATTGACAGGGGCGGTCTCGCAGAACGTGGACTTCAGGAAGACCGGTATCAAAAATTTCAGCCGTGCAGTGATGGAAAATGTTGCCCAGATCGCCAGGACCTAACTTTTTATTTCCACACAGAGGCAATCGGCATACCTGCCCAGGTGATCTACCTTACGAAACGGCCTTTTTCGGACCAATACTCTCGAAATGATATGGAAGCTGGAGAATGAATCATCAAGCTCCCCGGTTTTTTTATTTTATGTATGTATCTGGTTCCGACCTCCCGAGGTCCCACTCGAACGGCGTTGACCCAATGTAGATCATCTAGACTAACTACGGAGCAGCTTTAAGGTTAGTGACTTAAGTATATGTATGCGGGGTTCCAAGTTCATCGTAGGTCTAAACCATCCACGGGTAAGGCCACCACCGAGACTACGAGTAACTAACTTGGGAGTCTTTTTTGCCACGATCCCCACCAGATCGAAGAGACGATGTAAGAACTCGAGCCCTCCTCACTCATAGCTACAATGTCCCCCAAGCTTTACATTGCAACATCAAATTCCTCAATAAAAGGTTTGTGGGGATAGACAGAATAAAAGTACAGGCTTTTATAACCTCACATCAGTCTTATTCTTATGGAAACATCAAGTTCCATTCTCCCTCCAAACAATCTACCTCCAGACTTCAGGAACCATGATCCTCATAAGCCTCGCCAAAGCCCTTACCTTGGACGTTAAGTACTTAAGTATGGAAATCACGTCTTTCAGGTGCCAATGCACATTCCGAGACAAATCTCCACTTTGGCGATCCTTGGCGGGAAACTACTATCTCTGATTGGCCACAGACCCGGCTGTGGAGAGCTACCAGTTGGGCTATTGGAGGCAGTTTGGTTAGAACTCCGCGGAGACGAAAACCTGACGCCCCTGGAAATCACTTTAAGACATTTTTGAAATCCAGTGCAATGATCCCAGTTGAACATGTATAACTCAAAAACCACCAATGAGTGGATCTTCGGCGGGCTGATGGCCGCCCAGGCGATCATAATTCTTGCCCTCGAAACGTGAGACTCAACTCCTAGAAGAACTTGGAACTAGTCTGACCGATCTAGTTATATCCTTGTGGTATGGCAATTATGGATGCTCCCAAAAGCCATTCAAATTACTCCTTCATATATCGTACCCATTGACGCAGCACTCATATGGTTCGCTTGCATCTATGAATTCTCACTTTCGATCGGCGCTATGCGTCATAAGAACAACCTCTTACTCTTCGCTGTCTGCGTGAGTAATGTTTTCGCCGTGGCTTTCGCCGCCATGCAATATCCGTCTTTGAAGGGCTTTTGCAAAACCATGCCTGAACAACGCGCCATGTATAATGAACCCCTGGTGGACATTACTAGAAACATCTGGCCACAAATCCGTGGCCCACAGCTTGCAATTCCGATCTTTATTGGCATTTTCACTCTTTCAATCTGGTGGCATGCCTTCCAACTACACAAACAATATGCCTGGTATGCCTGGTCTATCTACAGAAGTGTGCAAGGTGATTCACGCATAAGAGCCCGACATCTCGCCTATGAGGTAAATCCACAATCGTTGCTTGGGTTCTCAACTGCTAATTACGTTATAGGTCTATGTCGTTCTTGTCAAATTAGATGCCTTTTTTGTTATCTGCTTTATTTTACAATACGGCTTAATCGATGTCCACTTCATCGAGCCGGAATTCGGATTGACTATGTCAATTCCACCAGCCCTGGTATTCATACTGATTATGGGAGTTTACGCTGTTCGCAAGGAGCACAAACCACTAATGCTATTAGTGATTGTAAGAAATGCCTCATTTTCTCCCTCATATTTCAATCGTCAACCTCGGCTGACAGGAACAGGTTTGCCATTTTATCCTCATCGCCTACCTACTGTCCCGGATCGTCGTACTGTATGGAAACAGTATTCTCGCCATAACACCCACGAAAAATATGATGCTTCTTTTCGCATTTGCATCCTTGATCTTGACGATTCTTTCCCTCGCAAGTGGGATTCGATGCTTCATGAACTTTGGCTATGGACTGAAGCCTATTTTGGCTGGCAAAGTCCACTCGGTTCGTGCGTCTTATGACTTCCACACTATCTCTCGACACACTCCCATGCCGGATAATATTTCAAATCGCCGGTTGTCCCTTTCTTAGACTGGAAGTGAGCTTTGGTTTTGTATTATAATTACTCATATCTAATTACCTTTTTCCTGTATAAGCGCATGGCAAATACAAATGACCGTACGTCTGGATAAGTTCTGTTCATGATTAATAGCGAAGATCATGTGTCCTGAGGTTCTACATCGATGGCTATTTATTTGCTGAAAAAGCTGGATTTTACTACCATAAACAAATCCTTATCTAAACATAGCTCAATGGGGGTTTTATCCATTGAGCTGCACCCATAGACAAAGTCTCCTACGGCAACCCACCAGATGCTATCATTCTCGGCTAGTCGGATGGTCAAAAAGTCTTAGCTCAATGTGGAGAAAAAGCAACGACTGGTTTTGCAAGATACTCAGATGTACTAAGTAGAGGTAAGAACAAAAGAAATCTATAGACCCAAGAAAGGGACAGCAGCAGCAACAGCAACAACAGCAACAAAATGGAGAAACATAGCTCTAAAAAAAAAAAGTCCTGGGCTTAAAGATCTGGTGATTCATGTTAGAAGTCAGGTCACGTGATCCTGCTTCTATATCTTGTCCCCCATCTCTCTTTCTCTTCTCTTTCCTTCTTCACGCATTCGGAGATTCTCGTTCTGTGATCCTTCTCCTAGTAAATTATCCTCCCCATCTCCCTACTAAATCAACATTTGGGGTGTCAGGCTCAGACTCCTTAAGCCACGGATGTTCAAGTAACTCTGCAGCAGTCAGGCGGTCTTCTTGTCGCCATGTGACCATGCTCCTGATGAATGATAGGAACTGCTCTTTCTCTTCGCCCTCATAAAAACGGTCTTCCCGGTCTTCCAATTTTTCTTCCTTGATTTCCACATCCTCAACAATCCAATTGCCTATAAAGCCTGTCAATAATTGCCTCAAACGGGTTTATTAGACCAAAATACACTCACCATCTTTGTCAAACAATTCAGGAGTTCCCTTCCCTTGTTGAAGAAGATCATTTGGCGGCATCCCTAAGAGTCCAATGATCTGCCCAAGGTGTATGCGGCGAAAATGTTGATCCAATTCCATGTCCCAGCCGCTGAACAGAAGTTCGCATTCAACAAGTTGCCAGACCTGAGACCAAATTAGCGCCAGTCTTCCCTACAATTCCCTGATTTCAAGTCTTACCACAACTCCCAGATTCCAAATATCAGTCGGATAACTCCAATTCACCTCCAGCATCACCTCGGGTGATCGGAATACCTGAGGCTGAGCAAGGTGATTTCTTTCTTCGTCTCCCTTGACTGTAGATCCAAGGTCACCCAGTACCCATTGGCAACGTTTGAGTTGCCCCAACATCCTTTCCTCGTAAAGGACTTTGTCACCGACAATCTTACGAGATGATGGATCCTTTAACTCGAGTTCAACAAAGTTATCGAATATCTCATTGCCCTCAAGCACCTGCAAAATATTTTCTCCTTTTATATCTCCAGCAGAAAGTCAGCGAGTTTCATCCAATGAGCTTTTGTCTCTTTCATACCTGTATGAACGAGTTTGCGCTCGGTATGCAAATAGTCTAATGCCAACAGAATATCCCTTGTCACCATTTTGACGACATCCATAGGAAGGTGGTTTTTTGCAGACATCGCGATCAATTGCATAGAATCTATACTCATCCCGAGGGGTGGATGCACGAGGCAAATATGGTCTCCAGTAGATCGAGGCAGCGTGAATTTATCCAAGACATCCCTCACATGGTTACGCCCTGGATGTTCCGAGGGCCGGCTTACTTCTTTGTATATCTCGGATTCCTCCTTGGTGATTTCATGGTTAGTCAAAACCTTCAAGGAGACATATCGGCGATTCCTATTTTGTCAGCTCAAAGCAATAACTCCCGGGAAGCGAATAAACAATGTCTCACCTGAGGTCTCGAGCGAGCCAAACTGTCGAGAAACGACCAGACCCAAGTTTTCCGACAACTTGATACCGGCTATCCAAAACATCACCAATGTTGACCGGGTAGTATTCATCTAGAGGAGATGACGTTGTTTTTTCCTCGCCAAGAAGTTTGGAATCTTCAATGATATCGAAGCCGCTCGTAGGGAAAGAGATCACCGGCCATCCACGCTGAAAGAGCCTCTTTATCAGATTCTGGAACAGTTTTCTTGTCCAATTCCACAAGGCGATCATCTAATTCAACAAGGCGGGGGATCAGTTTTGGCGTAAATGAGAGTAGAAAATATACACGCACCGTGCCGTTCTAAAGTTGTTAGGCCGCAGACTTCAGGAGACAATATCTGACGAATTGCGCTGATTGCTCTGAGGGTCCTGTGGACTTAATAACACTGAACCAAGTTGTCGCACCTTGGTGTTGTGGCGAACTGGTTTCTTTCAACTGCCCGGGTAGTATGGTATATGTCAATGGACGAGACACCCCAGGCTATTTATCGTGATGCCTAAGTTAATATCCCTTTTTTGCGTTTCAGATGGTGTGAGTAAATGATGAGTAGAAAGGAAATTGAAACGAAAAAGAGGGAAACAGCATTGAGACCATACTATATATAGTGTTTGAAGGGCTAGGGGTGCGCCAAAGAGCCAAGAGTGGTTTACGACAAACAAAGAACCCGACTAACTTTAGAACCTCTAACGCTGAGGAGAAGGCTGAGAGTGAAACTTCGAAACATCAAACAGCCTTGGAGATACCCGTAGACCTAGATATAAATTATCGGCCAAGGTGCTGCTCAAGTTCATTCGAAAACAAAACACTATAGATCAATTCCGTTATATCGCGACCCGTGGACAGGCTATATTAACATTCTCATTCTGACTTTGGGGGATGACTTATTCCAAAGACTATCGGAGAAGTGGTCCAGTGAATTACCGACCACCGATCGTACCAGCCCCTAAAGAAAAGTTAACGAAACCAGCTTCAAAGGATATCAAATTTTCGGGGCTTGATAGAGAAAAACTCCCCATTCCCTGGCAGGGAGCAACTAATCAATTCTGTTCCGACGAAGGAGGGGCCGCGAAGGTAAGAGTTTATTATTTTTGTTGCTTGAAGTAGATCACTACAGGAAATGCAAAGAAATTGATGATATACTGACTTGGATTTTGCAGAAGTTGGGGAAGATCAGCAGTGTCGAAATCTTGTAAGACTTTCTTGGATCCCATTTGCTAAGAAATCAAATGCTAACTCTTATGAGGCATCGAGGTGAAATCGCAGTCCACGAATCTCGTTTCAACCCGTTGGACAAGAATAAGGTCATCTCTGCCCTGATTGAAGGGGAACGGGGACGTCGAGTGTGCCATGTTACCATAGACGGACGTGGCACTCTCCAGGGTAGTGATGATGTATTTGGCTGTGAGTGCTCAGGTGAAGTTTCCACCTGGGCAAAGTTGACTGAGATTGAAGTCGCGAATTTGATGTTTGGCTAGTGCTTCTGAGTGACAATGGAATGAGATTTACGGCATGAAAATAGGGGATTATACTAACACTTACGCAAGCTTCGCTATCGACTGGCGTCGATTTCCAAGTTTTGTGTACTCAACCAAGTCATCTATTGAAGCTTGATGGGGCTCTTATATTTCTTTTCTGTGCTTACACTGATACATACGACCACAGGGTGTGGAGAACAGGGCTTCCCGTCCGCTCAGCCGTACTTAAGCCACACGCCGGTGAGTTAGTAGTTGGGTGGGTGACCACCAGCGAATCCTCACTGTTGTATGTTTTTGTTTCCTTTGTTTTTCTAAATTTACTCGTAGCTGCAACGAACGATTCAAACAAAGAACAATTCATGGATCAATAGATATCCAATTTTTCCCTTTCTCTTCAATTCTATCTCCATATCTCTTGATTGAAATCCAACAGTGACTATTACTCTTTTTTTATGACCTCGATATATCCATTCCATGTGAGTACGAGTATTTACTTGTATACAAATATCAAGCTATAACTCTAAAAAGCCCAGGTGCGTCATGTCACCTCAACACTGCATACTACTACATACTAGTAGTATGTAGTAATTAAATGGGGAGCTGAAAGAACAGCGGGGCGCGCTTTGTTCGTGTGGAGAAAAAGTGTCCACCACAGACCGAACCCGTTGAGTCTTCCATTATGAGTGGCTGAGATCTGCGTTGCTCAATGGATCTTCTTGCCGTTTGAGCCCGATTCAAATCTGAGACAGCGAAGAAAGTATGGAGGCTGGCCCAATCTGCCCCGTCATGTACAGATTGCAGACCATTGGTATGACAAGTTGAAAAGGCCGCATGGGCCCGTGAAAAAACACGGGGAGATCAAAATGGAATCGCCATCTTCGAAGGAAAAGGTCTCCGACTGAGAACTACTCAAATCGTTACACGCACTTTGCGATCCCTTCAGCCACGGGCTGGTCACCTCGGAAAAATTCCAAGGTTTCTAAACAACCAGCCGAGCCGAGTTTGCCGAGACCAGCAGCTATTGTGAACACGCCGACGGCAACGAATCAACCCGCATCACCACCCGTGCAGGAAGACAAGACTGTATTAATTTCCTCTCAAGCAACACATGACAGGCAGTGTTCCAAGGGTAGGCGGGGTTGGCTTTGTCGGACCGTGCGTCTCATAACACATGAGCCATCCGTCAAAGCCCACATGCCCGCCCCCGAATCTTCCCCGAATCTAGATCCATTCCTCATTTGAGGGCCGGCGAAGTTTGCGATTATTCTTCATCCCAAAGTGTGAGCGGCGCCTTGTCGTTGATGTGACATGCAACCCAACCGCCGCAGGAGTCCCACTGTTTTGGATCTGGGTCAGGTTACGACGCCATGATGTTAGGATTGCAGTGTATACAGACCCTGCCCCTCTTCCCAGGGCTTTTTCGCAGCTTTTTTTTTTCCAAGGCTATCTCCTTCGTTTCTCCCGGCCAGCGTCTTCCCGATGGCTCCTCTGTAATACAAAAATCTACACAGTCCCTTCTCTTCTTGGGTGGCCGCTTGCTTGCTTTGTGTCTTATCAGATGGCTCTCAGGCTCTCGGTATTCTCCTGGGTTTGACCCTGAGGAATTTGAAAGTTGATTTAGATTCCAGTGTACGCTGAGCTCTGCTGTATGCACTGAAAGTGAGATTGGCGGCCCGGGGTGGGGTTGGGGTTGGTGTCGTGGTCAATATGAAGATAGATGAAAGTGAAGGGATGGAAGCAAAGGGGTAAGATGTTGATGAGTCAAAGGAAAGGAGTCACATAGGAAAGCGGCACTGGTTCCATGGTCTCAGCCTACAGTCCTAATTTCAAAGTTGTCAATGGTTTGTGCCTATAGACTTCTCTGTCCCAACATCCGAAACACTTATAGGTCGCTCGGATTCCCAGCTCACTTATGTTCGGATCTCATTTTAAATAAATTTGTCTATTGTCTGACGTGCACTCGATGCATCTTGCTATGTACATGGGGCGATATTCTCGTAGCTTGCCATGAACGGACATCGGGAGACTGTCAAAGAAAAGAACCAAAGAGCGTGGATCAAATTGCCTCAAGGATTAGCTGATGTGGCTGGAAGTCCAACCAAAATCAACTTTTATGCTGACAATTGAAAACTTGGGAGTCACAGTAAAACCCAATCAGTGTAAAGACAATCTAGCAGTTGCCGCAGTAGGTTCGAATACCAATGCGGTAGTTGCAGCATTGGCCCGAGCAGCACTTGATGGCTGCAGCGTCGCAGTACTGGCCATTGCTCTGGCAGCGCTTTTCAAGCTTGAAAATGTCATTGACGTCGCGGCTGAAGATCTGGGCAGCAGCGTGGTCTTCAGGGGTAGCGACGGTAGCAGCCTCCGGCGCCGGAACGGCCACGGAAAGAGCGCCTGTGGCGACGGAAAGAATGCCGAGGAAAAAAGTGAACTTCCTATTAGAAGAATTAGATAAGAGACCTTTTTGAACTCAGACGAAAGCTTACATGTTGTCAATTGGATTGTACCGATTGAAGAAATGTGTATGAGGCCTGAGATGGATTGTTGAAAGATGCTATATGCAATCGGCCGGGCAGGTTAGCTTTATACATCTACCGAGTACAAATTCAAACCCCCCATTTGTGAACACTTGCTGTTACGTACATGAGCCAAGCAGCGTTATCTCAGGCCACCAGGTGTACGTGTACAGCCTCTGCCTTTTCTTCGCCCCAAGACAGACTTCAGGATATGGAGCCAATGATCAGTTTCAAACATTCCACGGCTTTCAGGCCACCAGCACAGAGGTTTCAATTCTCTAAGATCATGACGACTGTGTTATTGAGCCAAGGTTGTAAGGGTGTTTTGGCCCATGCAACATGAAGTCCGATCTACGCAAAATAGCCTGATCGGGAGACAACTTCGCGAATCGAATGAGGTGTGCTTTTGGTAATCTCGCAAGGTCTCAAGGCCTCGCCCCCTGATACCAACCAACTTGAGTCGATACGCCGGTAGAACTTCGGGGTAAGTTGATGGCTCGTACGCCTAGTACAAGAACTGATAGATCAAGCCCAAGATGATGAATACCTGAAACATACACACCGCAAACGCACATACGCACACAAATACCAAGTTATACAGATAAAAACAAGTTTACACGTCAATGAGGCCCATATTGTAATTGAATCCAAGGTTCTACGGAGTAGTCTCCTGTCGTTCCCTGCTTTACTTCGTCGTCACAAAATAGGATTCGCGCCTCCCGCCGCCACGGCCCCACATCTCGGCACGGCGTCAGCTTATGTGCAGAAGCTTGCGAGCGAATGAACACGCCCCTGCATCTCAAAAGATATGAATTATTTACTACATTAGGAAGTGCCTATACTTAAATAGAAACATAAACAGGGTGTCGCGAAATAGAGATTGCGTAAACAAGATTGATACAGAGTTCTCGCCCCCAATGTCACTCCTGTGTGTGAGGATGAGCTTTGACCTTGAAAAATGCAGTACAAAAGTTCCAAAGTTCCGATCGACAAAAGTAATCGACAGAATTAGAATGCGCATCATAATAGTTGGTTCGTCGATGGTACGATTGGCTCTGTCATAGCCCACCATCTCCACCAACGTATACAGCAGATCTCCGCCACTGGGGCTGCACTCAATGATGACGGTCGCATACGCACTGGAGATCAATAGCCGTTTTAGCCGAGAGCCGACTAGATATGGGGTTGGACTAGTAGGCTAGCTGATTCGTCAGGGCGTGTATGCAGCCAGCATTGTCC